CTGTGGAGTTTTTTGAGGGTCTTTGGTCTAATTATTAAAAACACACATCTCATTAAACTTCTCACTCCTCACCTATCTCAATCTATCACCAAGTTCTGTCAACTCAGGAAGAAATCTCTCAAATTTATATACAGCTGATCCTTGAACAATGCAGGGGATGGGGACATGGACCCTCAGCACAGTCAAAAACTCACAGGAAACTTAATAACTGGCCCTATGTATTCATAGTTCCTCCGTATCTGTGGTTCTGTATCCACAGATTCAACCGACTGGAGATCCACCCAACCAGGAATTGTGTAGTATTTACTAATGAAAAAATATATGTAAAATCAGGTCAAACCCATGTTGTTCAAAGGTCAGCTGTACGTCTATCCATGTCTACCGTTGGTACCTTGGATCAAACTACGCTTTGCTCACCAGGAAGACTACAGGAGTCTTGTTTATCTAATCCCTAGGACACCCCTCAATGTCTGCTTTCTACAGTTAGCCAGAGTGGTTTTTTTCAAAATGTACTTTTAGTCCTGTTCCCTTCCTTCCTCTCTCTCCTCAAACTACTCCCAACACCGCTTGTTAAATTCCAGTGGCTGCCCTTACTCGTAGAAGAGAGCTGCACACGCTGTCTACCTGTGCGGCTTCCTCCTGCCCCCACCTCCAGTTCTCAGGGCTCCCCCTCTTCTCTTTCAGCTGTTCGCACCACAGTCCTTCCTTCTGCAGTGATTTGCTTGCTCCAACTATCTCCCTTGTAGGGAGTGCTCTTTTTTACCTCTCCCTGTAGCTTAATTTTACTGATGGCTCAGGGCTCATTTTCAACATCAACTCCTCAAGGAGACATCCCTAATCTTCCTCTAATCCGCCTTTAGAGACCTGTGCTTTGTCAGCACCCATCACAGCTCCAATTTTTTAAGCGTGACTCTTTGATTAATGCCTCCTCCATGAGAATGCACACATCCATAACAGGCACCTAATCTATTTTTTCCTCACCACTGTATTCACAGCACCTGGCATAATGCCAGGCACATGGTAAATAAACCCTGTAAATATGTAAGAAATGGGTACATACATAAATGAAGCGAACTGCAACTATAATCACCTCCAGTGTATAAGTCACATGAGAAAGTCTATTGCTTTTCAAAGGCATTTTATTGGGTTGGCCAAAAAATTCATTTGGGTTTCCTGTAATAGCTTATGGAAAAGCCTAACAAACTTTCTGTCCAACCCAACACAATGCCAAATTACAGACTGCCTTTAAAATTATGACCTTAAAACATGCTTTTTAAATAATATTTCATCATACTCAGTACAAAGAAGTCAGCATACACAAAATACTTTTCCTGACAAACACACAAGTTCTGTAGAAAAAAGTATCAATATTCACTTTAAGCTTTGGGGGAGGAAGAGAGAGGGGAAATTGTGTTATTTCAGGTCAGGAACACACAAGTGAGTAAACCCATCAAAAACAAATCAAAAACAATAACATAATTCACAGCCAAAATCACTTACTCAAGTATATAAATATCCAAGGAAGTATGACCAAATAATAGATCTTACTGTAATGCAAAAACCAACAAAGTTTACAGTATTATCTAAATGGCAAACACTACATGAATAGAATTTTGAAAAATTTAAATTTGGACCCAGTAAATATTACCAAGTATTATTAATACTGGGCTTCCCTGGTGGCTCAGATGGTAAAGAATCTACCCATAATGCAGGAGACCTAGGTTCGTTCCATCCCTGGGTTGGGAAGATCCCCTGGAAGAGGGCATGGTAACCCGCTCCAGCATTCTTGCCTGGAGCATCCCCATGGACAGAGGAGCTGGCGGGCTACAGTCCGCGGGGTCACAAGGAGTCGGACACGACTGAGAGACTGAGCACTTTATTAATATCATTTACCCTTTACATGTTCTTCCAACTGTGTGACAGTTTATTTCAAAGGGAAAAATTCTTTACATGTAACTTTTTTTTAAAGATAGCATGTGCAAGCAATCCAAATCCAACTGCTCTAAAATTCACTGGAAAAGAAGTACCCATGCTTTTAAGAAGCTTCAGAGTGAGTCATGAAAAAACATTTTTAGAAGATATAAACGTCACTGGAACCTAAATGTGGAAAATTTGTGCAAAGGCTTTATTCATGAAATTAATGAATTCCCTATACTGTGATGGACAAGAAAGCCTGGTGTGCTGCAGTCCATGAGGTCGCAAAGAGTCAGACATGACTGAGCAACTAAACTACACAAAGGTTAAATGTCAAAACAATTAGCACAAAATTTAAGAGCCCTAAAAGAGAGATAAGGTATTTGAAATATACAAATTTTATAATTTGTAACAGCAGAAAGAACCTAAAATCTTAACATAAACTTCTATAATCACTGTAAATTTACATGCACTTTCCTATTAGGATTATCAGTAGCTTTGAGGATGCATGTAAATGAAGACATATTAAAAAACCTTGACTGGACTTCCCTGGTGGTGCAGTGGTTAAGAATCCACCTGCCAATGCATGGGACATGGGTTGAATCCCTGATCCAGGAAGACCCCACATGCTGTGGGGAAACTAAGCCCATGCGCCTCAACTATTAAGCCTGTGTTCTAGAGCTCGGGCTCCACAACAAGAGAAGCCACTGCAAGGAGAAGCTGGCGTACCCCAATAAAGGGTGACCCCAACTCATCCCAACTAGAAAAAGCCAACATGCAGCAACGAAGACCCAATGCAGCCAAAAACAAACATTTAAAAATATTGACTGATTTCCAGTGTACACTGTGTTTTGAGGCCTACATACAGCTGGTGTTGCAGGGGTCTTTGTTTTTTCTCTATATATGTACCTCATGGCTCCAATTCAACTTTTCACTGCATGTGGCTGAGGTCTATGGATAAGAAAATCAATGAGAGAGTCCGTGCCCCACATAAGGCTCACTACTGACCAGGAGCCATGCAACAAAAGGCGTGAGGAGGAACAACTGTGCATCTCGGAAACAACAAAGGGAACTTCATTGGAGACAATGAAGAAAACCAGGACAGGTAGGGGACAGCGTGTATTTCACAGAGAGGTGCGGATCACTTACTCCCATGGCGCCCTCAACATACCTAATATATCAGTGCTTGAAAACAGAACGTCTGCACTGTTACATAGCTCAACTGACACTGTTCCTTGTATTAATCTCCCATGAAATTTTTTCTACTGTTTTGACAACAAAGTCATTTCTTAAATATCACTCATAAAATTTACGATTTAAAATAGTTTTATCTTCAAGGTCTTACTATAGGACCTTGGTCCTACAGGAGACTCTGTAGGTCCACGGGAAACTCGGCTCAATGTTATGCGGCAGTCTGGACGGGAGGGGAGTTTGGGGGAGAATAGATACATGTGTATGTATGGGAAACTCGGCTCAATGTTATGCGGCAGTCTGGACGGGAGGGGAGTTTGGGGGGAGAATGGATACATGTGTACGTATGGCTGAGTCCCTTTGCAGCACACCTGAAACTATCACAACATTGTTAATTAGCTATATACTCCAACACAAAATAAAAAGTTAAAATTAAAAACCATTGTATCTGCCTTTCATATTTCATAGAATTTAATAGTTTTCCTAATGTTAAAGAAAAGGGCTGTGATAAAAATAATTAATAATTGGCTTGAAAGCACATTTCTGTATGTGAACTGGAACTGATTTCCTTTTCTGGAAATTTATAGCACTTGACACTAAAATAAGTCAAATGATGAAATCTTCAGTCAGGGAATTAGGTGTTTGGTTTCTGCAGGTTATACTTGCTTTTAACTTCTTCCTCTCTACTTCAGGAGGGAAATGAACAGCAAAAGCTGTCAGATGAAATACAACAAATCAGAAAGATCTGTACTTTTTAACTGTATTTATAGCTTTCCCTGTAAGGAAAGGTTAAGCCTGTATCTGCCACTAAACCCACTTGCTGGATGTTTGCCAGTACAATAAAAGTAAATGCAGTAATAAATAACGAAATAGATCCACTAAACCTAGCACTGTCAGTTTAGTCTTTAGTATAATTTATATAATTCATACTTCTTACAACAGACACAAATAAAGAACACTAACAAGTACAAGCTGAAAGAACACGCTGAGTAACCAGCAAAGTGCAACAGGATCAAAAAACATCAAAAATAGAATTCTTTATTTTCTCCCTTTAGTCCAACATCTAGCAAGTCTACGCAGGCATACCAGAATAATGAAAAAGGCAATGATGATGATGATGACAGCTAAGATTTACTGGGCATTTAACGTGTACTAGGTTCTGCTAAATGTTTTATATTTAAGCTTGACAACAATCCTAAGAACAAGACCCTATTACTAAACCCTACTTTAAAGACATGGGCGAAGAGGCTGAGCCATGTTAGGAAGTGGCAAGGCTGGGATGCTAACAAAGGCTTCTGAATTCAAAACTCTAAACCACTCAGTTGTGGGAAGAGAAAGATTATAAAGTATGGGATTTAGCAACAGTTTTCTGGGGGCAAAAATTTTAAACATATTCAAATGTATTTAACCTAGTTCCATGTTGTTATACTATATACACTAAAACTGTGGAAATATTCCATCCTAAAAGAGCAACTGACTTCTAAATCACTGAACTATTAATAAATTTCAAAATATTTTCCTAGATGTTGTAACTAAAACTATTTTATATCACATAAATTAGATTTTTATCCTCTAGAAAATAGTAACTCAAAACATTTAATTTCAGTTATTTTCACCATAACACAGTGATTTCTGAAAAAAATCAGAAGTCAAACTTGTAAAGTTGGTAAAGATAAAGAAATTATAACTAAATCATGACAGACTTGACTGAAATGATTCCAAAACTAGAGCAGGACAATCGTACAAGCAGTATAATCCTTTAGTATCGCTTTTTTAGATTTTGAAACAATCCACCGAACTCTGTATAAAGATTCAAACTAAATATGGACGTAATATTATTTGTTTGCCTGATGTAAAACTTAAAAACAACAACAAAGAGATCCTGCAAAGCGTACCTTGGCAAAAAATACGGTGAGGTGAGTTTCACTGCCAACAATCCAAATAGGGAATTTTGGAGATTTCAAGTAAGAGCCAACCTAGAACAAAGGTAGTAAGATAAGTAAATGAAAATTTTATATTGCCTGTTAGATATTTACCAACAAATGCTTGAAGCATCACTAAAGTGCCTAATTCATATTTAAATGGAATAATGGATTGTGCCAGAAAGCCTTACCCATAAGGGTCAAATGCTAAATGTAAAAATGAGTGTTATAAAGACTGTCAGGGTGAAGCTTATACTGCATCTTTCCACTAGAATAATAATACAGATTTACCACAGCAAAAAAGAAATTAGTTTAACCCTAAGAATCATTTTCATGTTTCACTGAAGATCCTAGATAAAATGACCACTTCTAGAATTTCAGCTTGGTACCTCAAACTCTAAAACTATAAATCTGATGATAATTACTTTACCAGGGAAATAATCATAAATTAACGAGTAGATACATGAATAAATAAGAGAAAAAGCCTTAAGAATATCCTGTCTTCAAAGAACCTAGAGCAATATAATAATTTCTCTAAAGCAAAATACATACTTCCATCTAGGAATATTAAAGAATCCTTCACTTGATTCTTGATGGCAGGAAGTAAGTTCAAAGTTACACAATAATAATTCTCTCTAAAATATATTAAAAAGTTATACCTTATAGCCTGTCTTCAAGGTTACATACTTAACCTATAAAAACAATAGCACCAAAAATTTAAGGGTATGATTTTTGTGTGACAGAGAAAAAGCAAGCTTAAAATTCAAGTCAGGTTAAAAACTGACTTGTGAAATCTGACCATGTTCACATCAGTCACACACACTGTTAGATGGACAAGGACTCTGAAAAACAAGTAACCTTACCAGTAGCATTTGCTGAATTTTCTTTTCTCACACAGACCTTCACCCCCACCCCCACCCCCACTGGAACTGGGAAATTCCAAGTGGCTACTTGCAGCAGCCAGTTAGGGTCAACTATTCATCACTAAGCAGCCAAAAGCCTCACTATGGTGTCCTGTTTTCAACCACATTTGAAATGTATTGTGATCATTAGGAGGGCAGTGGGGAGTAAAACTATCTTTTGACCTGTGATGGAGACATGAGCCGGATGTGCTAATCGCAATGAACAACCAGTAGAGGAGGAAGGGTGATCCGAGGACTACAGAGAAGATAACAGTAAAAGGACAAAGGAGAACACAAAACTTATCAGAGATTCAGAATTGAGGGATTTTAGAGGTTTTCGGCCAAGTCCTTCCATTCTACATAAGGAAACCGGAAAATACACAGGATCAGTGCCTGGTCTGACTTCAAACAGCTAACTAGTAGAGTCAGAATTAAAACTCATGTTTTCTTACACATAATGTGGCAGCTCTCCATCATGCTGCCTCACATCATGATGCTCTCACATCATGCTGCTCTCAAATCATGCTGCCTCTTGTGATGCAAAGTTTAGACATCGTTTAATTCCTCTTCTAGAAAAAGTGTGCATGTATCTGTGCAGGCGTGTGTGTGTGTTTAGTTAAGGTAGAAGTAAAAAAAATGTGGACAAAATTATATACAGTGGGATCAAAGGGTAAATGAGTGAACTCATACAGTGTTTTGTAATAATAAAAATAAATCAAAAGGCCATAAATAGTGCAACCACTTTGGAAAAGTTTCCCAGTTCCTCCAATAATTATGCATATACCATGTGATCAAGTAATTTCATTCCTGTGTACACACCGAAGAGAAATAGAACCATGTCCACAAAACATTAATGTTCACAGTAGTATTATACATTACTATGTTAATATTATAATGTTCATAGCAGTATTATTCATAAAAGTAAAAAATCAGAAACAATCTAAATGTCCATCAACTACTAAAGAGAAAAACAAAATTGATATAAATTGATAAATCATACAAAAGAATATTACTTGGTCATAAAAAAGAAACTAAGTACTAATACACAGGAATGAACAATGGAAACATTATGCTAAGTGAAAGCAGCAGCCAGACATGAAAAGCCACATACTGTAGGATTCCATTTGGATGTACTGTCCAGAAGAGACAAAGCTTCAGAGACAAAAATGCGCTAGGGTCTGGCAAGGAATGAGGATGTGACAGCTAAAGGGGGCAGAGAATCTTCTTGGAGTGAGGAAATGTATTAAAATTAGACAGTGGTCATGATGGCAGAGCTTTCTGAATATGCAAAAAAACCCCACTGAATTATATACTTTAAAATGGTGGATTTTATGGCATAGGAGTTCTATATCTTTTTTTTTTTTAAATATCTTTTTTTTTTAAAGTGCACACCCCAAAGCACTCAGTCAACCTTTCATCTCAGTACACTCTCATAGACACATGCACGCTGGAGATGGGGACAGAGAGAGAGAGCCAGAGAGCCCATGAGAGAGACTGTTTCCTTTGTCTTAATAAATGCATATGATAAAAATAATATGAAATTGATCAGTTTAACTGTAAAGGGCAATTTCCTACACTATCAAAAAGGAAAATGTTCAGACTCCAAAATCCATACCACCACAATTATTTCCTTACTGATGTTTCTCTAAATGTTTGATGAAAAGTATATAATTCCAAGTATATATATATTTTCAGAAGGGTAGCTATAATTATATACAGATGAGCATCACAGTGTAGGAGTTTTATTTTTCTTCTTTTTTAAATGCTTGTCTTCACTTAGTTTTGAGGTCCTCACTAGGGGCTGATCAGCTTCCTTTAAAAAAGGCAGCTGATGAAGTCCAAAACTCCCTGACATGTCTCCCACATTCTAGGCCACCATGCATGGCCCTAATCGCCCTGCAGCCCGGTACCAGACAACAAGGGAACGACTCCTGAGCGCCAGAGCCCACTGAATCTATTCAAGCCGGCTAGCCCACAGCAGGGCCAGGCATGGGTGCATGTACCCCAGCCAACTCTATCCCAGTCCCCATAAGGAAGCTGCTCCTTGGGGCTGCAGCCTACTGGCGCCTTGTCCATGGGCCTCCTTCTCTCCTTGGCCCTGTCTCAGAGCTTTCTCTTGTTTAGAGCTGTAAGTAACAAAAGTGTTCTGCCTTTCATCTATCTGAGCATCTGTGTGCTGTATCATACCATAAGAAATAACTTTAAACCCTAGAAAACCCACAGTTACTGCTAGAGCACCAGACCGGTAACACTAGGGTAGTGCTAGAGCACTAATACTAGGGTAACAGGAGAATATACAGCAGCTAATGACTTCCCACTATGAACTTAGGCAGAAGACAGACATTCCTCTGTTCTACCTAACAGTTAAAGAAAAGCAAATGCACGCATTTAGAAGAGCTCACCATTCTGGTGAAACTGCTCATTCATTCACCAAATGTTTACTGAGCATCTAATATGTACCCAGAAAGCCAATGTGACTGCTTTCATAGAGTTAATATTCCATTAAGGATAACAGAAATATTGATGATTAAAAAAAAAAAGATAACTAAGCCAACAAAAAAAGGTCATTACAAAGTGATTATTCCTACAAAATAATGTGAAAAAGAGTCAGTGGGAAATGGTCCTGGAAAAGGCCTTTGAGGTATCATCTGACGTAGGGCCTGAAGGGGAGAGGAGTGATCCATTCAAGAGCTGGAGTATTCCAGGCAGAAATGAAAGAAGTATAAAGGTTCATCAGGTTAGGGCTTGTTGTCCGTTGTTTAGTTGCTAAGTCATGTCTGACTCTTTGCAATCCCATGGACGAGCCCACCTAGGTCCCTCTGTCCATGGGATCTCCTGGTCAAGAAAACTGGAGTGGGTTGCCATTTCCTTCTCCAGAGAATCTTCCCAACCCAGGGAAGGTAAGGGCTTGGCACGTATGAAGAACTGACAGAAGACAGTGTGGCTGGAGGACAGAGAATCCAGACCATCAGGGCGTTAAGGCCACAGGGTGAAGATTTCAGAACATATCACCTTCACACTCTATCCTCCTGCAAAACACACACCGCACACTTTTCAGAAAACAGCTTCATTGAAACATCTTTGACATACAAAAACTAAACATATTTAAGGTGGAAAACTTGATGTTTTGATACATGTATATACTATAAAAAGATCACCACAATCAAACTATTTAACATCCATTATCTCTATCAAGTCACCATTTTTTTATGTGCATACACAGTCACACTTTTTGGAATATGAATGGTTGTTTGTGGGTGTGCTAGGGAGGAGACACGGCTTGATTCTGTGGTCACTAGAATGCCTCCAAATAACTTTCGTTTGTGTAACTAAAGTCACTAAAAATGTACGAGTTGCTACTGTTTGACAGTACAATTACTATTAATGAATAAAGGCAGGATGAAACCATTTGATCATCATGTCCATAACATCCCTGTGCAAGTGTTGTCACAAAAGAGGAATGTTGTCTAATAAAAAAGAAAAGGAAATAGAGGAAGGAGAGGAGGGAGGGAAGAGAGGATGAGGAAAAAGAGGAAGTAAGGCAGGCAGGAAGGAAAGACCTGTTACTGTTACTAAAAATAATCACCACCATTAGAACCACTGCTATGGAACCGCCATTCTAAAATGGAAAAGAATAGGAATCTACTTCTTTATCCAAAATCAGAACATCTTATTAAATGCAAATCATTAATGATTTAAACTCCATTTAAAACTATTTGGAATATCCATAATAATTTCAGATTATGCAGGAAAGTGATGAGATATGTATCAAAAAATGAGAGCTTCATGGTAGCTCCTAATCTGAGCATGTGTTAAGAGTTTAATGCTATGAAATGCTTGGGTTTTTCTTCTTTTAGTGTGAAATCATTTTTTAGATGAAATAGACAAAAGTTAGAATTTCAGGCATTTAGCAAATTGTTTTACTATGCCTGACAAAATATTACCAGTTGTTTTGGTGAAACATACTGTTAGTATGGAAGATCAAATAGGACATTCTTTCCCCTCAGTTTATCAAAAACTTTATTTATATTCAATAATGAATATCTGTTTTCATAAATTATTTCAAAGTGGGTTCTGCCTCTGACCCTCAAAAGGAATGAGCCTAAAAAAATAGGAAACTCAGCATGATCAGCCAGCTTAACTCTATCCTTGATAAGCCTGTCAGTTCAGAAAGGGTGATGAAAAAGGAATTAAGAGTATACACTATCAGTAGTACACTAAAATATGCTGTCATAGGAGAAAAATGCTCTCTATTACAGTGGACAAGTGAATAGAAACCATTAAAAACCAACTTACCTTACAGTATCTTAAAGCTTCCATGAGTGTTAAGAATCCTACAGCAGCTTGTTCATGTATACCAAGAAGTTCTGCAACAAAACAATTAGCAATGTATTAGTATACAGATCTGAAAAGCACTTCATATAAATACATATGTACACACACACATATATATTCTACACCAAAACTTTTACCCAAAATTGTACTTTAAAAGCCTAGCATAGGAGGAGCCAAGATGGTGGAGGAACAGGACGGGGAGACCACTTTCTCCCCTACAAATTCATCGAAAGAAGAACGCAGAGCAAACTTCACAAAACAACTTCTGATCGCTAGCTGAGGTCATCAGGCGCCCAGAAAAGCAGCCCATTGTCTTCGAAAGGAGGTAGGACAAAATATAAAAGATAAAAAGAGAGACAAAAGAGGTAGGGACGGAGATCCGTCCAGGGAAGGGAGTCTTAATAGAGGAAGTTTCCAAACACCAGGAAACCCTCGCAGTGGTGGGTCTGGGGGAAGTTTTTGAATCTCGGAGGGCAACCTAACTGGGAGGGGAACAATAAATAAAACCCACAGATTACGTGCCTAAAAGCAACTCCCAGCAGGAAAGTACCCCCAGACGCCCGCATCCGCCACTAGTAAGTGGGGGCAGAACAGAGAGGAGCGGGCGGCACTGCTTAGGGTAAGGACCGGGCCTGAGCGCCCTGAGGACAACTGGAGGGAGCTTTTGTGAGTTACCAACTTAAACTGTGGGATAGCAAGAGAGAGAGAGAAAATTAACCGGCCCAAACACACTGCCGGCAGTTCACAGAACAAAGGGTCTGAACAAGTCCAGAGAAGAGCTAGCAGGCTGCGGACCACCCAGCCCCGCTGGGCCAAGGGGAAAGGGGCAGGCTCGGCCCCAAGGACTGCATCCCCTACCGCACTGCAAACAGGCCTCCAGTTTCTAACCAAAGACGTCGTGAGATTCTGGATAGTCAACATCCATGGATGGGGTTGCGGCTAGACACAGGGCGCACGCACTTGACTGGTGCGGGCGGGGACTGGGGCTGGGGACGCGGAGGGGAGAAGGCGCATGCACTCGACTGGCGCGGGCGGCATGCACTCGACTGGCGCGGGCGGAAACAGAGGCTGGGGCAGCGGAGGGGAGAAGGCGCACTGCACCGGGGAGAGTGCGCCCGTCAAGCTCCTGGCTGCCTGAACCACTTGGGTGGGGAAGGCACAAAACGCAGGCACAGCCGAGTCTGCGCTTTTGTGGAACATCCGAGGGCTGGAACCGCGTGCAGCGCAGGGCACGCTCCATATAGACCAGCCGGGAGCCTGAGCAGCGTAGACGGGGAAAGCAGCGCCAGTCCCTCGCCGCAGTGCGACGGAACTAGCAACCTGAATAAGAGTCCACCTCCGCCCGCCTGTGTCAGGGCGGAAATTAGACACTGAAGAGACCCGCAAACAGAAGCCAAATAAACAAAGGGAACCGCTTCAGAAGGGACCGGTGCAACAGATTAAAATCCCCGTAGATAACACCAACTACAAAGGAAGGGGCCTGTAGATATCAAGAAGTGTAAGCTGGAACGAGGAGCTATCTGAAACTGAACCGAACCCACACTGGCCGCAACAGCTCCAGAGAAATTCCTACATATATTTTTACTTTTTTTTTTTGTAATTAAAAAAATTTTTTTTTTCTTTTTTCTCTTTTCTTTTAAAATTCCCTATTACTCCCCCATTACTCCTTAACTTTCATTTTCATAGGTTTTTACGATTTTTTTAATTAGGAAAATTTTTTTCTTTTTTTTCTCTTATTTCCTTTTAAAGTCCTCTATTACTCCTCTACTACTTAATTTTCATTTTCATTTCACTATAACCTTGAAAAAAAAAAGAGAAGCCCTATTTTTTAAACCAAACTTCATATATATTTCTAAAATTTTTTGTTTTTGTTTTTAATATTGTATTTTTAAGAGTCTAACCTCTAGTCTAGATTTTTAATCTTTGTTTTTCAGTATGTGATATAAATTTTGGACATTTAAGAATCCAATATTCAGTTCCCATTTTTATTCAGGAGTGTGTTGATTACTGTCTCCCAATCTTGACTCTCCGTTTTCTACCTCAGAACACCTCTATTTCCTCCTTTCCCCTTCTCTTCCCAATCCAATTCTGTGAATCTTTGTGGGTGTCTGGGCTAAGGAGAACACTGTGGGATCAGACAACTGCGTAGATCTGTCTCTCTCCTCTTGAGTCCCCCTTTTTCTCCTCCTGCTCATCTCTATCTCCCTCCTCCCTCTCCTCTTCTTCATGTAACTCTGTGAACCTCTCTGGGTGTCCCTCACGGGGGAGAATCTTTTCACCATTAACCTAGAAGTTTTATTATCAGTGCTGTATAGTTGGAGAAGTCTTGAGACTACTGGAAGAATAAAACTGAAATCCAGAGGCAGGAGATTTAAGCCCAAACCTTGAGAACACCAGAAAACTCCTGACTACATGGAACATTAAGTAATGAGACCGGTCAAAAGCCTCCATACCTACACTGAAACCAACCACCACCCAAGAGCCAGTAAGTTTCAGAGCAAGACATAGCACGCAAATTCTCCAGCAACACAGGAACATAGCCCTGAACGTCAACATACAGGCTGGCCAAAGTCACACCTAACACAGAGATCCATCTCAAAACTCATTACTGGGCACTTCATTGCACTCCAGAGAGAAGAAATCCAGCTCCACGCACCAGAACACCGACACAAGCTTCCCTAAGCAGGAAACCTTGACAAGCCAATCGTCCAACCCCACCCACTGGGTAAAACCTCCACAATAAAAAGGAACCACAGACCTCCAGAATACAGAAAGCCCACTCCAGACACAGCAATCTAAACAAGATGAAAAGGCAGAGAAATACCCAACAGGTAAAGGAACATGAAAA